AGGGCCGGCGCGGCCAGGGACGCGCAGCTGAGCGGCGGTCTCGCCGCCCCGGTTATTTATAGCTCGGTGCTGCTTCCAGCCCAAAATTAGCCTGTTGGCCGGGCTGCTGCTTGCGGGGAGGGGGGCTGGCTGGCTGCGCCCCCCGCGCCGCCAGCGAGGGGCCGGGCGCGCCGAGCCGCAGGGCCGGGGACGAGCCGGGCCGGGCCGGGCCAGCTGCCGCGGCGCGGGGCTCGCCTGGAATGCGGGCGCCGGGCGCGCGTCGCGACTTTTATGGAAAGTTGCAGCGGCGGAGCGGCGGCCGCAGCCAAGGGGCGCTCGGCAGCGCAGCCCGCCCGCTCCGGAGCGCCCCGAGCCGCAGCGCGGGCAGCGCACAGGTAAGAGCGGCTCCGCCGCCTCAGGGCACAGCGCGGCTCGGCGCCCGCCCCCGCCGCAGCGGTTTAACCGAAGCCGCCGCCGCGCGCGGGGCTCTGCCCGCCCGGCCCGGCCCCGTGAGGCGGCCCGGGGGACGCGGAGCCCGGGAGGGCCGTCCCGCCCTGCCGTGAGGGACCCACGGTGAGTGATGTGCGGGTCATAAAAGTTAGCTGAAAATCCCGTAAATCCCCGGGTTTGAGAAGCCGCGTGTCTCCACGCGCGGAGTTCAGTTTTGTTGGTGCGGTCTTCAGCAGCGAGGGCACGGTGAATTCGTCCATTGCTTCTGCTTCGCTCTGAGGTGATGGCTGTAAAACTGAGTGGCTCGGAAGAAAATATTTGGTTTCTTTGACAGCTTGCAAATTAGTTATTATCACGTTTGTTTTAGGCAAATAAGGGCTTCTTTTAAACCAACAAATATCTAAAAAGCATGTTTAATGAAGCATGTTAGAATTTCAAAAATTTATCAGCAAATAGCTGCATGGTAGAAAACGCTGTACTTTTATCCTTAGATCTCAGATCTTAAGAGACATTAGATCTCCTAGAAAATTATCCAGTTAAACGAAATTATGAATTATAATTAGTCCTATAGGAGGGCCAACTGTATCATTTAAGGAGCATGCAGAAGTATGAGAATATGACTGGTATATGTAGAAAGCACAGTCTGGTGAAATACAAGAGCTGGGTAGATGGCTTAAGACGTTAGTAAGGAATACTTTGACTGCATTTGGAATGTATTAGAGGAGTAGTTTTCTCAGTGGAAGAAGCCAGGCGAGCATTGATGTGGTTATCCAGCTTTGAAACTCCTTTAAGGAGAAGCAGTGCCGTGGTCAAGCTGGCTGCGGGGAGGCAGGGGGAAAGCTCATGGCACCGGGAGAGCCATGCAGGAGGCAATGGAAGTGCTGGGCACTGAAGGCAGCTGTACCTGCTCAGGTGAAGGTGGTACACATGATGCAGCTTTTCACAGGCATCAGCACCACCAGCGGGGTAGGGCTGCTCGAGGGGAGGCAGCAGCGTGTCTCTAGGAAGCCCCAAAGGAGAGGCAGAGCTCAGACCATAGCCACTGTGGGATCACCCCTGCTTCAGTCTGAGCTGGCCAAGAGTGTTTCTGAGAAGAGGCAGAAGGGCTGTGTCCTGTCAGCAGGGAATATACAAATTGCAGTAGCACCTCATGGCCAGCATTTGTGTTACCTTGATCTCTGAAGTCCTGTCACTGAAGTCAGCAAAGCACATGGTTCATCTTCAGCTGCCGTGGCACAACCAGGAAGGGAGGAACTGTGGCATGGGGCAAAATATCCTGGTTTTTCTCTTGGGGACCTCAGTTCACAATTTACTGCCGCTTCCATTAGGATCAGCAGATACCATGGAACATGAAATCATGGGCCAGAAGATCCCAGCAGGACTTCCCCACTACCAGAGCAGTCTCTGAACCCCTACTGTGTTTGCTCTGGAGCCTGTGTACCCCATAGTAGTAGAAGAGAGTAAGGAATCAACAGATATTTTGCACAGAGAAGGGTGATCACATTTTTTTAACAGTTGGGCTGAATGCACTGCTGCTTTAGGAGTGTTTACAGCTGTACAAAACCTAGGCATCCTTTAAAATACATATGTTTTTATAAATAACACCTTGTCTGCAAGGGGTATTCTACAACAAATTAAGACTCTCAATAAATATTGAAGTGTGATAAATTAAAAGACTGAGGAGAAGATTGCAAAATTATCTGGGTCACTTGTTAGTAAGCATTCTGGTCTTTTATTATGAAGACTTAATGAAGAAAATACAAGTGAGTGGAAGTAGTTTTGCATTTTGTGTATTTATACAAAATGAGAAGTTTAGACAGCTGGTATTAATTGTCATAACTGACTGGCTTCAGTGGAGCTGATGGTTGATGCCAGCTCAGGACCTTCCCCTGTGCACGATAATTTTAGTATCTACTTCAGTATCTGTAATTTGGTACAACAACTGGTAGTGTCATTCCAGAGCAGTTACAGGCAGGACATAAATGATGACCATTTCCCCTCCGCTGTCCAGTCCTCTTTAATATTTTATTAAACATTTCAGCGCTGTGGACTGTGTTTCCCTCTGCTTGGTGCTTTGGCTGCAAGCAGTGAGTTTCCAACTCTCACAGTTTGGTTTTCTTATATAATGGAGACTTCCCTGCAAGTAGATCACAAAGAGGAGACAGATGGTAAATGTAACTTAGACCGTGCCATGAAGGGCTTATTTATAACTCACAGTACCAGGAGGAGATCAGGGGGCCCTTTGAGAGGAGAAATCACAGAGGAACTGGACCTTTTTTTAAAGTCCTGACTTCATACTCCTATTGTAAAGAGTTCTGTTTGGTTCAGGGTATTTTTTGTGTCTCATGTGAGGATGTTTATCAAGCCCCTGAAAAAGACAGATTTTTTAAAAGAAAGCAAATTTTATTATTTATGGGAAGGCTTTTTATTTTTTAATCTGGTTAAAGCTGCACAACTTTTTTTTATCAATTGAGGACTATGACCTGCTTTCAGAAATGGAAATTAATTAAATTTAAGGAGATAGATTTTGGGACTTGTGAGCCATCAAAGTTTCTGTGTCCCCTTAATGGTTTTCTTTTTTGACTTTTTTTGCCCAAAGTAAGATTTTAGGCAGGCTGCATGACAAGTTGAAAAAGTGCTATGATCATAACAGACCAAGGCATATCTGAGCTGATTGCTTGTCCATTTACAGTAAATGAGTAAGATGTTTGAAAGCAGTATTTTTTTTTTACACAACATTTCTAATCTGTTGCCTGGTTTCCTATGTATTACTGCTTTTGTATTAAATTTTCACTTGAATTTTTCACTCTCTCTGCATTATAGCCAGTCAAGTTAAGTGGCATATTTTTTCCAATTCCAGAGTTAGGACCATCAATCACTGTGTGCAGGTTAAATTTTTCTTGAGGAGTGGACCTTTCAAAGGGACCCTGCAGTCTGGTACTTTCAGTATAAAACTCATAACACCAGACTAACTTTATCAAAGATATGTCATTTAATTGTAGGAAAGATAAAATGTGGAAAGAAAAAAAATTACAGTATTTTCAGGTGAATGCTGGAGGGATGAGACTGGGTCAGCAAAGGGTAACAAACTCGTTTTTTGATCATGGTGATGTTCATAATTGTCATCTGGGATTTTTTTTGAGTGGGCAGCTTCAATGAGGAGCTCTTACAGCTCCTGCTAAGGTATGTTGATCTTGGGAAAGACAAGATGAGACTGAATATTAAGATTGGACAGCTTTGTAATAGGATAAACAGTTTCTGAAGTAAGCAACTAAACAGGCAGGCTCGTATTGCCTCAAAAAATAAGAATTGCTTTTATTAGATGAACTCCGGGAAAATACAAAACAAGAATACATACATGTAAATGCACACTTTAATATAACTAGTACATCTCAAAAAGGAATTAGTAGGTCAAGGATTCTTGGGTTGGAAAAGCTATTACTGCATACTTCTGCAAAGCTATTGGCAGATGAGGAAGGCTCTGCTCTTCCACGATTTGTAGGTGTCAGGAGTTCCTGATGCAGCCACTTGGGTTTTCTCAGCACCAGTTCATTGACTGTGAGCCTCTCCTGATGGTGAGGCAGGAGCAAAGGAGCTTCTGTCTGCAGCTGTGGTCACTGCCTCACAGACCCAACCCAAAACTCAAGGAGTGCTTCTTTTTTTTCTTCAATATTTTGATTGTCCTTATTGGAAATTACTCATCTGCCCTGAGGCAGGGTCCAGCTGCTCATCCTGCTCCAGGATTAATGGCCATGGAGAGGGATGGAAGTGCACACATGGGTGGTATCATGTTTAGCAGTGTGCTGGTGCTTTATATCAATATCTTTTAGCATCAGAGGTGGAGGTAGGATGACTTGCAGAGGCAAAATGCCTTAGAGCCAGCTGGCTAACCTTCAAACATATTAGAGTTAGTGATGCCTATGAACTGGAAAGTAGCCTAAAGTAATAGCAGATATGGCAGTATTCCAAATGGCAGAAACATATCTGCCATCTTCAAGGCCAACAACCTCTTGGACTGGCACTATTTTGGAAATTCAGACAGCAGGAATTTGCAAAGAAGATTTCTTCCAACATTCACACTCCTAAGGAAAATTTCAGCTTTGTTATCCCACTGTCAAGAGGTTCAGGTAATTGGAGCTATCAGAAAGGGTCAAGAGAAAGTCCTGACTCAGGAACATCATCTTCTTCTTACAATTGATTGCACATAATAAACCAGACTTTGGAATAGTCAGTTTTCAAATGACTTTAAGAGGAAGCCCTATCCATGGGGTACATTGCTGTGGTCAAGATTAGTGGTAACCTTACCTTGAAGTGTTGAGGTGAGATGGAATTTCTTGTGACAGATTATCTTTGAGTCTTCTCTGCTCCAGAGCCATGTCAAGGGTAAAAGGTCTCTGTGTCCCAGGTTACTCCAGTGCAAGGATTGCACCAATTCATGACATTCCTTTGTTTTCTGATGGGTTCCTGCAGTGAAGCTTTGAGTCTGCTGCTGTATGTTAACTAGAAGGCTAAAATTGCCAGCCCCAAGTGGGGAAGGAGCCATTAAAAGAGCAGAGTAGCAAAAGAAGAGAACAGATATACTGATCACAGTGGGGATTTTACTTACATGCATTAGAAATCAGCTAAAGCTTACAGAGCTGTGAAAATCCTGCACAGTGTACAAATGGGTGGCAAAGCCTGTAGGGACCCTGAGGCTACAGAATGCTGATGCAATTATCTGCCTTCCTAGACTCCACACAATTCCAGCATTCTACTGCTGACCTGAAACAATCTCAATAGGAACTGCCACTTAGCGATTATATGTTCATGTCCTCACAAGTGAGAAACTGAAATGCCTTGGATTCCTATCAGTCTACAAATGAAGGACTGGGGTGGGGGTGGTGTGACTTTCTGTGCTAACTGGTTGAAAGGGAGCACCAAAGTGCTCTCCAGAACATCTCTATTGCAGTCAAATTTGAAGAGTTTAGAATCTGTAAATCAGGGCAAGCATTGGTAGCTAAATGCTCTTGTTTCATATGTTGTGACTGCTTTCCTTGGGAAAAACATCCCAAGATCTCTAAGAATCCCATTCCTTTTGTGTATCTACAGTAGTGCCAGTGAGCACTGATGATGTTGGTGTATTTTTGAAGTTTACAGGAAAACAACTCTTAATATTAATTATTTTCAAAAGAATTTGAAAAATAAGAGCTTAACTTTCCGTATCATGAAAATCCCTGACTTCAGCTCCTCTAAACTGCAAAGAGAGAAGTCCCTTCCAGTGGTAAGCTGCTTTTCCAGCATTTTTGTTTAAAATCATTGAGCTCTTTATTTGCACCATGTTTGGCACACTGAGTTTAGGCTTTCCTGGGACTCAAAGGATCAATACAATACAGACAGCAGTAGCACTGGAGTCACATCATGATTTCCTTCCTCCCATGAGCTGTGATAGACCTGAAGCTGAAAAGAAGAGAAAAAGAAGAGAAAGTGCCTTTCTGTTAGCTTCCTAGTACACAGTGTACTTTAAAATTTCTAACAATTTTCTTCTAAAAAATGTAATTTCCAGACCACAACTAAATTATTACAGAATCACAGAATAATGAGGTTGGAAGAGATCTCTAAGATCATTGAGTCCAACCTATGTCCTAACATCTCAACTCAGAATCTAGACTATAACACCAAGTGCCATGTCCAGCCTTTTTTTAAACACATCCAGAGATGGTGATTCTACCATCTCCCTGGGAAGAGCATTCCAGTACTTTATTATTATTTCAGTGAAAAAAATTTTCCTAATATCCAACCTATACCTTCGCTGACGTAGCTTGAGACTGTGTCCTCTGGTTCTGTCAGTGCTGCCCGGTGGAAGAGACCGACCCCACCTGTCTACAACCTCCCTTCAAGAAGTTGTAGAGAGCAGTAAGGTCACCTCCAAGCCTCCTCTTCTCCAGGCAATTATACAAATGCTTTATCTGTCTTTGGCTTACCTATCCCATTTCATATTTTTTGCCACTACTTTTCCCTGGAGAACAGCCCCGGGGAAGGGACGGCATTGCTCTGTGCCTGTGCGCGGGGTGAGGGGCCGGCGATGCAGCCGCACCTGTGGCCGCAGGGCTCCCCCAGCCCAGCTCTCCTCCCGCAGGCACACAGGCACAGCAGCGGCTCGGGGAGCCGGGATCCCGGCCCGAGCTCCGCCCGCCTCCCGCACCGCAGCCCCGCTCCCGGCCCGGAGCTGCGGGATGCTCCTTGAGCTGCCACGAGCACCGGGAACGGAGGGTTGGCAACGAGCAGCACGGGCAGCCAGAGTTTGGCTCCGGGTTGTTTGTTTTTTTAAAATGGAAATTAGAACCCAATATCTAGGACTATATAGAGGAGTTATGAGCATGAATAGTGAATCATAAGCTTGTTCTTTTAATTACTGTGGCATACTTAGAACCTATTCATGTCTTCAAAAGCCCCAGCGGACCAAGTGAAATTGTGATACATCAATTTCAGCCTATGCAAACTTATTTACAGGAAGATGGTTAAAGCATCATTTAAAAGGAAAAGAAAGGAATGTGACTACAACTGTTTCTTTCAGGTAGGAACTGAAAGCCATCTTAAACATACAAGGTGCAGAGCACAATACAGTAACCATGAATGACATTGCACAGAAAACCGAGGTATGTACCAATTTTAAAGTAATCGAGGCAAAGTAATAATTTACAACTGATGCTTGCAAAAGTAATAATTACAAATAATTGAAAAAGACAATTATACTGGAAGTCTGCTGGTATTGCCATTATTTTCAGACAATGAAAGGGGATTTGTTAAGTAGCTTAAGATTTGATCGAATCTGTGAACTGTGTTCTTATTAGAAAAACATGAAGGAGGAGGGTGAAATATGAAGGTTTAAATGCTGGTGGTGAAATTCTGGGCAACATTTACATCTGATGCTAAAATGTAAATATACTAGGCTACTTCAACTATTTCCTTTTCTACATAGACTTACTGAGTAGCAGGGACAAAAACTTCTGATGTAGGTGGAAAAATATGAAACAAAGCATGTTTTTTGCCAGTTTTCTCAGTATCACTTTATTGAGAACATTCCTGTTGTCATCACTGTAAAAAGACAAAACTTCACAGTAGTTCTGAAAGTGGGAACCTTTGGTGTTTGGACACCCACAGAGTAATCGCTGACAAAGAAGTGTCCATTTGCTGTATCAGCATCAGAGCCCTGATGGTCCAATGATCTTTGCACTTCATAACATAAAATCTCTGGACTCCTGTTTTTTTCTAGATATTGAAAAAGTAAGCATATTGCAAGTTTTAAATTAAGAAATACTGTGTATATTTAAAAACTATAGATGGCTTTTGAAGTGTTGCAGAAAAACTCTCAGATGTATTTATTATGTATCTATGTCGTTATATCTCTTTTAAATGTTAGGGGCAGAGAGTCTCTTTGGTGACTGCTTAAGATTGAAAGTAACAATATAAATCTGTATCTAATTTAATAGTTTAATATAATGCTGAATGTTGTTTTGGATATTTTAATATTTATTACTATTTATGAACAAATACAATGATGCTTAACTGACGATGGCTCATGGCACGAAGTTCATAATCTCAACTGCACTTCTGTTTTATGTTCTTACATTCTTTCTAATCCAATCTATCAGAATATTTCTGTCCATCTGTTTCAACTTTCTTTTTCTTATCTTCATTTCTTCTATATCTTCACCAAGATTCTGCTTTCTTCATCTAAACCCGTCCAAAAGTCCTATGTGCCCAAGCTTCACAAGGGGGATGTAAAGGATAAATTTGAAGCTATGCAGAAAGCAAGGGAAGAAAGAAATCAAAGGAGATCTAGAGATGAAAAGCAAAGAAGAAAAGAACAATATGTTAGAGAGAGAGAATGGAACAGGAGAAAGCAGGAGGTTATTTTCTTTGCTAATATTTTGTGTTATATGTTTTTGATATTTAATAAATATCTGAAAATATATTCATATTATTTGAAGACAATAATACTGGGATTTCATTTAAGTTATAATGACAGTTTATTTTCTGTGTTTCATCAACTAGATGAAAGAATTGCTTGGATCTGATGAAGATGATGACACCAAACTATCTAAAACGGAAAAGGGTTATGTTCCAAAGCTCATAGGTAAGAGAGGCCCGACTCTAAAGGCCACAGAATTCCCTGGAATTCTGTTAGATGGAACTGCTGAGCTGTGCATTTCATGTCCACAGGAACTGTTAAAGGCAAGTTTGAAGAAATGGAGAAGCAAAGGCAAGAAGAAGAAAGAAAAAGAATGGAAGAAGAAAGAAAGCGCAGAATTGAACAAGATATGATTGAGAAAAGAAAAATTCAAAGAGAATTGGCAAAAAAGGCACAGGAGGTATGTTTATCTGATCACAACAGTCAGAATGTAATTGTAAACAATAAACACTAAAAATGTTTTGTATTGATTAGAAAGATTTGATCTTAAGATTTCTCATAGAAGAGATTTACATGGGAGATGCTCAGTGGGGTGGAAGTGAGATATCATGTTCAGACAGTCTTAATTTCTTTACAGTAACAATTTTCCTGTAAGCTCCCAAGTTGAGTTGCAGATGAAACTGGGCAGGCATAAACCTGGTACGAACCAGGCACAAAATGTGGTATCATATGCATATAAGTTTACTAAACTAATTTGAAAATGTTTCTTGTATTTTATCAACTCTTACTTTAGACAACCTTTCCTTGTAAGTTAGTGAACAGAGCTCAGTGATAAATGAATTAAGGCAAGCAAGTAGTAGTAAGAAAATGCCAGTGGCAGGTAAAAATGAGACAACACTAATGCAGTAAAAATAATAAATCATGAAAATCATGAACATCCAGGTCACGTTTTATTCCTTTGCCATTTTGTGAATCATCATTGCATATAAATATATATATATATATTTTATTGATGCCAATGCAGCAAATTCTGTCTTTTGTAGAATTTTGTGAAGGGATATCAAACTTAGTTCCTTTCACAAGTTTTCTTCAGTGCTGTAAATACTGCAGTGAGAGTAAGCATTTTAATGATAGACTAAAAACATATGCAAATTTCTATTTAAATAAATGATAGTAGTACTTCATTTAGGTTTGAATTTGTTGTAAGAAATGAAAAGCAGTTCTATAGGAGAAGTCAGTTTTTCAATAGTCTTTTCTACTAGATCTTCTAACATTGTTAAAACCTTACTTTTAATTTGCATTGTATCTAACATATATTTAATCTACCCTGCAAGGCAGAAATGTAGAATTTTAAAAAGTATGTCAGTTTTAGGCCCTAACATAAGCACAGCATAGGAAACAAGCACAGCATTAGGCTTTTTTCAGGAGCTGAAGGGAAGACAATGTCACTTGAATCAGAAATGATCAATGACTTAGCTTTAGATTTAAAAAAAAAAAAAAAATTACACAGTTCTGGAATGTTTAAATGAAGAATGGACATCTCAAGTACTGTTCTTGGTTCAGCACTGTGTTGAGAATGCTTTAGCAGACTTTGTGTGGGATGTTTTATGTCTTGTTGCCTCTTCCTCGACAAGCTGACCTACTGAAGGGTTCCAACAGAGCCTCGGTCATTACCACCTCGGTGGATTTATGTGCTACATACATATCACTGATACAAAAAGAATTTCCAGTTCTATGTTTGCAACTCTAAGGCAAAGAGCCAAATTAATGTAATCATATGAAATTCTCATTTAATAGATTGATGACTTTAACAATACGGGAACTGAATCAGCAGCTGAGGTAACTAGATTTTTTTACAGAAATGTTCACCTACATTTTTTTTCACTTTGTTTTATTATTGTAATTTGGGTTGGGAAAACTTAGAAAACAGCACAGAAATACCTAATTAAAGTTGAACCAAGGAGCTAACAAATTTTTGGAGTACCTGGAACTATCTCTGTACTTGAAGTCAATATATTGAAGTCTGAAACAGAGCCTGGACTATGAATACTTTATGATCAGTTAAAAACATCTAAAATGTAAATATTAAAAGCCACCAGAATTATTTTATATATATTAGGAATGATTCTTTTAAGTCCTCCAGCTTTGCAAAGAATTATCTTAAAAGCTCTTTGCCTTAAACTTGAAATTAAAGGGGGATTCTGACAATATACAGATGATTGAACACCTCACTCAGTTAACTTTGTTATTTTTTTTTACTAATATACCATACGGGTTTTGATTTTAAGTCTTGCAAATAAATGTTTCATTTCAAAAAGCTGGGTCCAAAGGTCCTGTTGTCTTTCACTAACACAAGAAAATCACACTCCTACTACAGTTTTGGAAAGAAAAAAAGAAACCTGCAAATTCCTCAGTTTTAACTTATTCAACAGGAGGGAAAAATATGGGTAAATTATATTTTGGCAAATAAGTTGTAAAAATAGAGTTGAAGCAGAAACATCCTTCAAGAAACAATTACTGTACCTGACAAATTATATATTAGAAATCACAAATTACATATTTCTGTGTTGAGCTATTGGCTTATTCCAGCTGCAGTTTATTATCATTTACATAATAAATATAAAACTGGAAGTAGAGTGTGGTTATAATTGTTGTGTATTCAAAATTACACCTGTTCTTTGCCAAAGCTTGAGTTTTTATGGTTAATGAAAATCTATAAAGAAATTGCCAGCCGCTATGGTTAAAATATAATTCAGTTTTTGATAATCTTCAGATATTAGAAAAAAACTAGTGACTGCCACAGGCAGGTGGATGTATTCTTGTGGGAAATATTCAATACAAGTAAATCTTTTGGAAGCTTTGGCACGCACAGGTTAAACAGCAGGCTCATTAAGAAATGAGTCTACCTAGAAGTTTCATGAAAATGCAGTAAATATCTTTTTGGACAGGAAGGGGATGATTCACTGCTAGTTACAGTAGTGCCTGTAAAAAGCACCAGGACATCTGGGAAGATGAAAATAAACTCTGAGAACACAGGAAAGGAGAGAGCAGAACAAAGAAAGACACAGGATGAAGAAATGAAGCTAAAATATGAGGAACAAAACCAACTCCTTAAGGAACCCAAGTGCCTTTCATCTGTCCAGGTAAACCAGTCATCCAAAAAAATACCTATATAATAGATATTTATTGGCTTAAGAGACAACTGTTTCATTTTTCTTACACAGGGTGAAAATGAAAACAGTGAAACTCAAGAGCCTCTGTCCCCTGGTAAGCTAAAAGTCACATTTGAAGAACTGGAAAGACAGAGACAGGAGAATCAAAGGAGGCAAGCAGAGGAAGAAGCAAGGCAGCGTTTGGAAGAGGAAAAACGTGCCTTTGAAGAAGCCAGGCAGAGAATGGTAAGCACACATTTTTTTCATGTTGGTACACAATTTGCACATTCTTTCCTGTATGTGATTCTTCTCTTTTTTTATTCCTTATCTTTATTTCAAGCTGTTCAGAGTCTGGAAATGAGTTTTTGAAAGACATTTTTGACCTTCACTCTAACTCAGTAACCACACTGGCATAATGCTTTAGACATTCTTTTAGTAAACCAAAAAATAACAGGTGTTTTGATTTTGCCAGCAACTTAGTTGATTTTCTAATCTGCACTTTGTAGTATCTTAAGCCTTCAAGAAGATGAGTGGCTGTTTGTTTTCTTCCGAGTAACCGGTTTTTGACGCAAACATTCCCTAGTAACAGAATGCTGTTTCTTATCCCCGTGTTTATTTGTAAATGTGACAGAAATATACATGTTACAACTCTCCCCTTATGAAGAAAGGCAAAAAAACCCCAAAAAGAAACAACAGATCAGCTCTTTTTTATGTATTTATATAAACAACAACATACTATAAATTACTAGAGGAGGTCCCCCAAATTGTCAGAAATGCAGCCCACAGATCCTGTTTTATATTACTTGGAAAACTGCCTCCATATGTGTTCTTTATCATAAGTCAGAGTTAGATCAGCTATAAACAGAGCTCACTATAGTTTGTTCTTTGATCATACTGAAGAAATCATACACTCACTATTAACCTAAGATAACCAGACAGTTTAGTTCTGTATTTCCTTATTTTTCCACACTCCATTTCCAATAGCATTTTTAAAGTTCTGTATTTGAGTACTTTTCCCCTGTATAGTCATGATCACTATGACTTTCTTAGTTCACATACAAAATTCACATACAAACAAGATTAACAAGAAATGAGACTTTAATCTTCCATAAAAACTTGGAAAATATTATTTATAGGAATTTGCTAGCTTTAACAGAGTATAATTATACATGAACAGTCTTGGAAAAACAGCTCTAGATCACTATTTTGATTATATTTCAAAAACATTCAAGACATTTATATTCTACAGAAACAAACTTAAACAAAACTAACAACACAGAACTTCTAGAAAGCTGAAACATAACAAATTCCCAACTGGTCCATATTGAGAGTTCTAGGTTTAGGCAGATACCCAAATTGTAGCTAACTTTTTCATCTCCACCTCCAATAAATCACTGTTGTTTCACACTAATAACCTTGCCATTATGTCAATAATGCAATTTTTCTTCTTTGTTTGGGGCAAGGGATTGTAGTGAAGAAGAAGAGTGAAGAAACTGAAGGAGAGCGAACTCCATTAAGTCACTTAGCTGTTCTAACTGAAGATTAGTTCACATCTCCTTCCTTATGCTTATGCATTCATCAAGTTATATGAAATAATTTACAAATTCTCCAGATCAAAAGAAATTTTTTAACATGAAGCTGTACCTGCTGACCAGTGGTTGTCAAAATTTGAAGTAAACATTTTTCTTAAGAATTCAGCACTTAATTTCCTTAAATTCTTCAAATTCTTTTTTGCCTTACAAATTTCAAATAAAGATTTCTCTAATTCCCTTAATGGGCTACCCCACATACCAGTCCCAGGGCTGCTCACAGTATAGAGATCTGGATTATCAGTACTCTGACAGCTCCCAGTCCACTTCCTCCCTGAACAGATAAAGTACTCTGGGATGTCCTCCGAAAGGGGTTCTTGATTGCAGCTTGCAAACCACAGGCTTCTCTTAGCACGTAAGTGTTCACTGGAGAGAAGCTATAGCAAGGAGATCAGAGTACCTCAATTCCTTTTCTTCAGTGATGATTAAATGTCTAAAAAGAAAAGAAACAAAAACCTCAGTCTGGAATAATAGCAAAATGCTAACTGATTCAGTTTTGCTATAAGACTGTACAGAATTTCTTTAAGTGGTGCACTGATGAAAGCAATTTCTATACAAACAAAAAGACTTGATGGTATAAACATCTATGAAAATGATGTAAATAAAGAGAAGAGAGAGTGATTTACAGTAAATGATCCAACAACCATAAAGTATGTACTTAACTGTTCAGCCTCTTCCTGGTAACACATTGTTCTTTGAATTACACACTCAACACATTCTTAAAAATTATAAAAGCTACATGTAGGATACTGAAAATTTCTTTTCTCGCTCCCCTGGCTAGAACAAAGATTAACATGTTTCTAACAGGAACCTAAGTCTTGATGCATTTTTTTCCCCCAAGGAGAAAACAGTACTTATAAAAGATCAGAAATGAATGGAGTATTTATTTGCTATAAAGAATATTTTTTTTGTTTGGATAAATCCTTCCTACGTTTTCCTCTCCCTATTCTCTTAAGATAAATGAAGGTGGTGATGAAGAATCTGAAAATGCCGTTAAAGAATTCCGCCCTGGTAAACTCAGACTCAGTTTTGAGGAGATAGAAAGACAGAGGAGAGAAGAGGAAAAGAGGAAAGCAGAAGAGGATGCACGACGACGCATAGAAGAGGAGAAAAGAGCATTTGCTGAAGCAAGGAAAAACATGGTATGGCATTTTGGTTTAGCACAGAATTTAATTTTTATCTAAATCCCAATCTGGAAAGAAACTCTGGGAAAAACTTTTAAATAAAGTTAGGAATACATGCTTCATCTCCTTCATTAATTAGTTCACCTAACTATTTATTATAAGGTAAAGGGGTAAACTAGTCAAGTTCATTTACCAAAAATCATCAGAGAACAATCCCTCCTCACAGCCAGCCTAGAGAGGATTTCAGATAATTTAGTCAAAACCAGGTATCATATCCAGTGGGTATTATTGTACTAGATGCAACATACTTGGGAAGCAAATGTTACCACAAGGAGGGTTAATTGTTTTGGGTTTTTTTGGGAAGAGCAATTTCTTTTACAGCTCCAAGTTTATTCCCCTACCTCTACAGGGTGTCCACCAATCATCTCTTACTACTAAAGCACAATTAATGGCATAGTAGAAAAATGCTTACTGCAAGTATGACTTTTCCAGTCATCTGTGCCTCTTCAGGGAGGAAAAATTAAAAGGTTGAACTCTGCTACTTGATGTATTTAATGCTTGTTCAGAGAAAAACAAAAAATAACTTGTGGTGTTTACCATTAGAACACTTTGTAATACTGTCTTCCCTTGACAAACACAGATTTCTGTCATATGCAGGGACTTCTAAAATTTGAGTTAGGATTAAACTGCAGACAAATTTTCAGGGGCTTAGGACTGCCATACACTACCTGAAAGCACAGAAAGATGCCTGATTTCAGAGGTTGGCAACTACTATTTATATTTAAAAAAAAGTGGCCACAGAGCTTTTAACTGTGGTCTTCATAGTTATTCCAACCACTTCAAGATTCAGCAGGCTTTTGGGTATAAGCCAGTTACTTTATTGGTGGATATCAGGAAATACAGCATTAAGTTACACAAATATAAACTAGAATAAAGTAGTGTTTGTTTCAAAAGGGAGGGCAGGACCTGTCAGACTAGAACTGTGGAATAACCCAGGCATCTGGTAACATCTTCCTACATCCTCTGTGGCTGAATTGGGAAAGGCAAACTGTATGCCCAGTAACATTTTCTTGATCACTCATAGCAATACTTGGGAGAGAGATGAAAACTTTGTATGAGTACTGATACTGTCAGCAGGGCTCCCTCTGCCTGGAAACTGGGCCAAAGACCAGTGCTGAAAGACTACCTAGAGAAGCTACAATGTGAATTTAGATTTGATACTACTGAAAAATAGTGTCTGTCTGTACCTCTAAAGACAGAACACAAAACCTAAAGCCACTTAAAAATACCCTTAATCCAGCACAAGAATGCTCCTGGAGACTTTTTATGAAAAGGCAGTAGAGAACTAAAGGAAGCACAGAAAGTATGTGCTGCTTCTGTTTTTTCATGCTTTCTTGATGAACTCTTTTTGTGGCCTCAGTGTAGCAAGAACCTAAACCAAGTGTCCAGGTAAGAAAAATTTCACTGATAAACAGGGTGTAATCCGCCAGAGGCAGCACAGAGGCTGTGACTGCTCTACTTGCAGACAGTGAAAGAGGTCTGTAACTAAAAAAAATACTGAAATATATTTTCAGCATTTATGCACTTGAAAGTTCTCTGATAAGTAGCATCCTGAATTTGAATACTACATTTTCTACTACTCACAGAATATAACAACCCTCTGTTTTCCTTATTTCCCACTGCTCCAAAATGTAGCAGCAATGAATATATGTCCTAAAATGTTAAAAAATGTAACAGTCCTCGCTTTCAAAGGCAGTAAAAATGAACATTAAACTGTTATTCCAGGAACTTTTTAATGTTCATTCATTTTAATTTCGTTTTGGAAGTGGCAGAAATGGTAGTATTGTGGCTGGAAAACACAAATGCCGCCTCCTTTTGGATCTCCCTATTTCACATTTCCTTGTGCTATTTCCATGCTCCCCAGCACCAGTGTGATCACTTCTACACTGAAGCAGTTGTCTTTCATCCCCATCAATCTTTTTCTGGTAGAGATTGCAAAAAACCCCATCTTAGCAAAAAAACCCAAAACAAAACAAAAAAATTTTTCTTGTTGACTATCCTGCAAACCATGATTGTTACAGGAATGTTTCTCACTACCAACCATTTCCACTTTGCAGAAAAAAAAAAGTATGGCCTAATTTCACAAAATACGGCTAAAATATTTACTGAACTAACCACAGGGGGTTTGTGCATCACACAACTCAGCTAAATCTTTGTGGTTTTTAACCAGGGAGAAGGTGGCTGTCTTTACATAACTCAGTAAGTTGGAAATACAGAGACAGCTGCTAGTGCATGCACAGTTCTTGAACTCTTGAGGGCAAATTCTGAATTGATGCTTCTCATGGTCACTTAGGTTTGGTATCTTCTTGAAGTGATGAGCTTATGAACTGATGCACCACCAGCAAGAGACTTTCATGTTGCTTTGCTGATTTAGTTATGAGTAGCCTCTAAAATCCATGGGGCATCGTTTTCCCTGTAGGGAGGAACTCACAGCTTTGGTTTTTTGAGTTCACTTCTCTATAACAAAATTTCAACAAATATGCTCACATTACATAAAACAAAGAATGGAAGTAATGGTGGTGCTGAAGTCCAATTGTAAGCTTAGAGGGAAAATCTGAGTAAAATCTGTAGTGAATGGCAGAATTTGAGTGGGATTGGGCTAAAAAACTACTGAAGCAGCTGTGGCAAATAAAGAGGATATGGGTAAAGTAGGTCAAGAGTGTGGTATGAACCAACACCAACAGCAGAGAAAGGTGTGTGATACAGTGGCAGTAAGCAGCAATAAATATAAGTAGTGCCAAAGGCTCTTACAGAAATGTCTACTCTCTGTCCCTTTATACTCAGAGCACTTTCTCAAATGGAAATATTGCTCCTTTAATTATTGCTATCATTTGACTGATTACTGCTGTTGGAAATGCCTACAACTTATGGCACATTGAGCTCTCCCATGTCTGCCACAAGGCTTTTCAAACTTGTGCTGATTAAACAGTGCCAAAAGCCACATCACCCACCAGGTTCAGTACCTGACCAGTGCCTGACTCCACCTCACCTTTACCTACAGAACATTCCTGCTGAGACAATCTCTATAAATCTATATAGTTACATGCACATATATTCTTATTCATAAACTTACATTAAAATTCCTATATAGCTCACTGTCACTACTGGCTGCTTTTGTAGTGTTCAGCTTCCTATTTTAGTACTTCACCAAATTCAGTCTGATAAAATATTAGTTCTTGCACTTGCTGCTTTGGAAATAATGAAAAGTGCCTTTCCTAGGCCCTACTATCTTATGGATTAGTCTAAAAGATAGGCCAGCTGCTCCTAATGCCAACCAGGCCTAACCCTGCTCTGAAGCAGACAAGGACAGGGAAAGGAGGAAACCTTTGCCAGTGGGTGTATAAATCAATTAACTGGCACATAACATAAACAATTTGTGTAAAAAGAAGAGCTTCTGAATGGTCTGTTCAGTTATCCTTACTGGGAATACTGATACTGCTTTACAACGCAAACATAATTCAGATTGCTTAAGAGAAAGACTACAGATAAATGTACTTGAGCATTAAGAGCAATGACATTTAAACACAAACACTTTGTCTGAAGTAAGTAAGAATTAATTGCTTCAGGTCCTTAAGTGCATTTAAGGGCATCCTCCACTGCAGAGGGAAAATACTGCATTTTAGAAAACCACCTAATCTTCATTATAAAAGTTTAGTGTTGTAACTAAAGTTAAATACAAACCCCCAAAGCACTCCCTCCCACACTATCAGAGGAAGGCCCACATTGCACCTGTCTGTGCTGGGGCAGATGTGACAAAGTAGTCGCTTGTCTTTATGTACCAGAAGTGTCTGAACAATGCTGTGATTTCATCACAGGTGTAATTAATGCTCTGAATTTCCAGCAGGTGCTGGATGATGAATCACCAGAAATGTTTAAAACCTTTTCTCAAGAATCTCTCATACCTGGTAAACTGGAAATTAATTTTGAGGAGTTGCTGAGACAAAAAATGGAAGAAGAAAAGAGGCGCACAGAGGAAGAGCGTAGGCAAAAGTTGGAAATGGAAAGGCAAGAATTTCAACAGCTGAGACAAGAAATGGGAGAGGTTTGTACATCAAACTATATGTTAAGCATGCTCTGAATAAAAATAAAATTTATCACTTCATTACTAGAAGTTTAAGACTGGAATGAAAAATTCCTTTGAAAGAAGTTTTAAGTTAATACATTCAACATTATGTGAAAGGAAAATGGAAAACCTTATTTGTATAACATTTTACATAATGACATTTTTTATCACTAATCTATCAGGAAA